CAGGCGAAAGCTTGCACACGAAAGCAAAGCGAAAGATAACAGTTTATTCTCTACTTCCCATGAGCAGCGATGGTCGGCCACTCCCAAGAAGTAGGGCTTCAACAAGCGTGATGGTTCCTCAGCAGGCAGCCATTGGAGACAATGGATGCCCACCTTCCTGCTCCTTGCCTCAGCTTTTATATCTGAGCTGATGTCATATGGTATGGAATATCCCTTTGGTCAGTTTGGGTCAGCTGGCCTACTTGTGTCCCCTCCCAGGATCTTGCCCTCAATTGAGGAAGGAATGTTACAGTGCTGATGCTGTGCCTGTCCTGCTCAGCAGTATCCAAAACACCGGTGTGTTATCAACTCCCTTCTAGCTACCAATGCAAAGCACAGCACTGTGAGGGCTACTATGGGGAAATGAACTCCAGCTCAGCCAGACCCAATACAACCTGCTATTCAACCCTGGCAGAAACTAAGGTCTGTGGACAGAAGGAGTGAGCCCCAGGTGAGACTGGTCATGGCGAGGTCTGTCAGTGCACTCAGTGCCCTGCCTGTCCTAAGGAGGAATTTGTCTGGTACATATGCAGCTATTTTAAAAGGTTGAAACCTGTTCTTTGCCCCAAGGAATCTCATTGTTGGTATTAGTACTTAAGTCACTGCCATCAGCTATAATTAAATACATTTTGCATGAAATATTTTTAATGAGTCCAAAGACCAGAATCATGATATATCATAAATAGCAAGGTATCAGTAGACAGCTTGGTACCTTTTAGAATACCAGTCTCCAGCCTAAAGTAAATTGCTTTTTATTTGCATCCATCCTTTTTCTGAGTAATGACACCAAATCTACAGAGCCAAACAATGTAAATTAACAAATTCTCAGTTCTCTGCAGCAATTGGAAACGACAGTGATGGCATTAGCATAATTTCTCTGCCGGTTTCTCATGCCAAGCCCTGCTATCAACATATTTAATTGTACTTCTCGCTCTCAGCTGTTGTCTACCAGTAGATAGGACACCTGATTTGCAGAGGGGAGTGTTTTATAATGAATGTCTATTAGGATGGGTTTGAATTACCCATTAGTATAGCCTTGCTTTACAAATTAAAGGCTGGTCCTGAATACTGGCTTTACTTGATGGTTTGTTTAACCTTTCCCTTCTTTTCACCGTAACCTCCAAGAACCACATAAGCATTTAATGCATTTATATACAGAACTCTCCATTGAACAAATGGAATACAATTATCTGTACTAGAAACATGGGAAATTAATATGAGGCCTTAACTGACTGAACAGCTTAGCCAAGTTCCAGACAGGAAACCTCTAGCACAGCTAGAAATTGAATCCTGACTCTCATCCAAGTGTATCTCCTCTACAAGTCCATCTCTCATCTGGCTGGAGTAGTCTCCAGGAGGAATGATTTCCTACAGCAGAATCACTGCTATATTCACTTTAGCTGTCTCAAAATGGGAATAGCTGCTCATTCACCAAGGCAAGAACATCCCAAAGCTGTGCAGTCCTGAGCATGCTGAATCCTATCCCCAGAGTACCCCAAGTTCCTGTCTGTGGACACAGTTAGGTGACCAAAGGGGTGTGTGTTAGCTCCTAAAGGAGCCCAAATGTTAAAAAGATTTTGAGGCAATCTGTGAGGCAATTATCTGGCAGAGCTGCCAGATCACTTTGTGTGAGCATTACATAATCGTTTCACTACAAACTCGGTGTGCCTTTGTGCACGTTAAACCCATGACCCTGGCCTAGAATGGAACAGCCATTTTGACTCGGTGCTTTCACTTCACTTTCACTTACGCGATTCAACATCCAGTTAAGGGGCAGTAATTTCCAAACTCATTCCAGGACTATGCCCTTTGGCACACTGATTTTTTTTTCACTGTACCTCACTTCATTGTGTCAAGTGTAGTGCTCCTAACATTACAAGTATAAGCTGATTTTTAATACTGGCAACATCCCTGAAGTTCACTTCAACCAAATTCTTATGTGATCTGTCATTTAAATGGAGTAGTTAAAATAATTTGGATTTACAGAGACACACACAGGAGGGACACTGTACAAATGTTTTTATATGAGTTGCCAGCAGCTCTTGGAATATGTTAATTTGGGAGACTTCAGGTCTTAACTTTCCATTTTTTTTCCTTTACACTGCCACAACAGAGTGACATTTAAACAGCTCCTACAAGCCAAGGCCTTGAGTTATCTCCAAACTGACAGCTGCAGTCTGGGAAGAGTGAATGAAAACTTGTCTGTGCTGCTGATGGCCAAACAGTTCCAGAGTAAGACTCTTCAAAATGCAGTAGCAATGAGAAAATCTTCCTCTCCCCACCCTTCAAGCCACTCTGATTAGTTTCTTCAGCTATCATGCCTGTGATTTCTGAGCATAAGCTTGCATGCACTGCTGTAAAATTCTTTGTTTCATGTCATGCTGTGGGGCTGAACAAAGGGCTTTGGATGTCTTGGTGTGGCACTGTCATCTCTAGTATGGACATACCTAAGTATCTAAAAGGCTTGAAAACAGGTTAGTTATACAAAAAAAATGCAGTAGCAACTGATTACAGTGATTGTTCTTTGTTTTCTTAAAAAATATGTTGCTACATGATGGTCACAGCATAAATTTGTGTTGCTACTCCACAAGCCCACCTTCCTGGGGTCTACAAAGGGAAGGCAGAGGTGCAGGTTAGACTTCAAGCAGGTGAAAGTGAACCATTTGTGGTTTTGATAAAGGCACTTGAAACTTGGGCTGCATTCCATATTCAGACACCAGTCACTATGGTGGCAAACTCACCAAGCCAGGCTCATTATTAGACTGTTGATTTTGATGATTGATCAGACAGATGTTTGTCTCAAAATTCAGAAGCTGTTCTTTCTTTTCTGACCTTTCATCTGTCATAATCAGATAACTAATATCCTGTGTGGTATCGCAGTAAGCCAATTTTGCAACATATCAAAACATGTCAGAAATAATATGGGTAAAGAAAGCTTGTCTAAGGCAGTAGAAAGTAGAAGATGGTATTTGACCAAAGTGGTAAGAAATTTCATTGCTACCTCCAAGTTATTGAATTGCCCTTGGAAAGCAGAGAAATGATACAAAGATGCATCTGGAGGAGAAATTACAGAAGAGGGGAAACTCTTCAAGTCCAAATGGTGAGGCAGAATGAGTGTAGCAGTCAACAGGGCAAATGGCAAAAGACTCAGAAATACTACGGATATGCAGAGCTGGTAAGGAACTGACTTCTAGTTCCACCTGTAGAACTCTAAGTCATCAGCAGGGGAGAGTGAGGAACTAGGAGTTCTGGGACAGCTTATTCGTCAGGAAATAAGTCCAAGAACAACCCCTTCTCTCAGTAGGCCTATGGGTCCCTTTCACAGCTTCCCAAAATGATCTAGCAATGTCCCATGTTTTGTCTAAAATACTGCTCTGAATATGGCCTGCAGTCATACTAGTCATCTTTGCAGCAGTGAAGTGTTCACATTCTGCAAATCAAAATTCCTCGAGTACCTCCTGTTTAAGCCTATATATTCAAATTCTTTGAATATTCATTTTTTTTTGAATGAAATCTCATAGGAGTCTCATACCTATGAATTTTAAAATGTATTATCACTTTTATTCACATTAAAGTGTGCTGTGTGAAGGCTGCTTTTTACATCTTTCTCATCTTTTGAGCACTGTAAACCTTCTTGGTCTTCGAGGTACTTCAATAACTTCACTTCAATAACTGCTATTGGCAGTAAATTGTGCTGACAAAGGAAAACAATGAATTTGTAGTTAATTCTTACACTAAAAAGTAGTAGCTCTTCCAGAGCGATATATATTGGTCTGTCAGGGCATGCTATGTATGTCCACAGACCTAACTCCTCTGTAATTTATGAAAAGAAATAAATGATTCCCATTCTGAATTCTTCTCTTGGCTAGGTATTCCTATCCTGGATAACTTCCCTGAGACTGCTAATTCCCACTAGTCAAGCCCTGAGGCCAACATTTTATTTCACATCCTCACTTGCTAAAATGTCCTGCAGATTCCACCTTATCTGCAGTGTTACATAAAGTGGTTTCCAGCAAAAGAAACTTAACTCGCTAAGTGTAGGCAGAACTGTTAAGTGAATTTGCAACTTAAACTGGTTTTTTGTACTTTAGAGGACTGTAAAATCACTCAAGAACCTTTAACTTACAAAAGTATGCACATGGTAAGAAGTGGCTGAACAACCTACAGCTGGGATGTATCATTAATGTAGAAGACACCCGGACTATCTGAACTAGGTGACTTTAAAATATAAGACTAGTAGAGCTGAGATGGAATTTATTAGGAGGAGCACGTGACATAACTGAATGAATGTAATTAAAGCACACTGATTATCAAATTCTTAGAATTATCTGAAATCATACACTTTTCCAATATTTACAAGTTTACTGACTTTAATCAAAAAATTACTATGCATTTCTCCATGTGTTCAAATATGTATTGAATATGCTATGTCTGAATTATAATCATAGATCTATTCACAATTAAATTCCTGATGAGGAATTTTGTAAGAACTGAAGTTAATGCAAACATTGCAAGGATAAGGAGAGATAAAAGCTGAGTTCCCCTAAGATTAAATTAATAAACTCCATTCCTACAAATACTACAATCTCTAACTTTTAATGCTTCAGGCTGCAAAATTAGTCCACATTTTTGTGGGATCTGGTTTTAAGTGATGACAGACAGCTGATTACTAATGCTATCTGGTTACTTCTGTTTAACTACAGCTCTGTTTGATTTATATCAAAATAATCATTCATGTAGGGTTGAGGAATAAAATAAATTGCTGCTACAGAGATGTTACGCAGACACTGCATTTCAGGCAAGGTTCCATTAAGATCTTTTGTCTTCCTGATGGTTCATCTATAAAGACCATGGGAAGTTCAAGTGTTTTTCCTTGCTAGATCTCACCCTCCAAGATCCTTTGCTTTTCGGCTCTTTTTTATTACTAAACATAAACAAACACAGCAAAATCAAATATGCATCATACGTTCCAGAATTTTTTTTAAAAAAGCTTTATTAGACATATACTCTTTAGAACATATTTAACAAATTCTCCAACCCTGAAGGAATCCTCTTTATATGAAGCACATAAGCAAGTGCTCACAGTAACTGAATGGTAATTTAAGTGGCCACTGAAACATGCAGAAAACTAACTCGCTATCAACTTAGAGATGAGTTAATGTCTGTACAGTACATCAGGCATAATGTACAGAACAGTACATCTGTTCTGTACAACTACAGGTTAGTACTGAAGGCAGTTCTGGTCTGCTACTATCTATTTCTTTTAAATAATAAAGCAGGTATCTTTCGAAGTATATAAAAGCCCCATCATTTTAGAGAAACTAAGTAGCTTAGGTACATTTCCACATAAATATTTAATGCTGGTTTACAGCATTAAACAGCCATTTCCATTTTAATAGGTGGATGAGGATTATAATCTTCAATCTGAAAGTCTTCTGCCTTAAAGTCACTGATGTCTTCAACCTTACGAAGAATTCTGAGTTTGGGGAAAGGTCTTGGCTCCCTCTGAAGCTGAAATAAAAGCAAGCTTACTGTATAAAGCTTAATACTTGAGAGATTTTGTGTTCTCAATGTCAATTCAGATTATACTATGTAGACTTTCCCTCCCCACCAAGAAGACTTATACCAAGAAAAAAAAGGGAAGAAAATTTTAATATTTTTAGGTGGAATCTACTTTAGTATTTTCATAGGGACAGTAGTATAATTTTCAAGTGAATTCCTTGATCATCCAAATGCACTGCAAGCACTTCCAGTGGGTGAAGCAATTCTGGTGGTTACAGATCATACTCCTTCCAGAGGAAACTGTATTGGAAACTCTGACCCAGATGTGCATCAAATGTGCTGCAGTTTCTCACAGGACCATTTGGGTCCAAACCATTAACTAGTTCTCTGAACAGTTTTGAACCATATGAATGGTGAGGACAGTCAACCCAAACTAAGTCAAATCAAACAGAATTCTGATTTTCTCCTACTGCAACAAATTACTTACTGAAGAAAACATAGCCAAATAGTAATATTGATTAACTCTGTGAACCGGTAAGTTATCATCTCCTGCTATACTACAAAGACATTCTGTTTTTTGTTTATCTGGATTAGGCAGAATGATTTTCTAAGGTTTTGGCATGATTTAGCCAAAAGTAGGAGTACTGATTCTGGATCTCCAACTTGGTTCTAAAGTAGTACACTAATGTGCATTTCAATCACATTTGTATTGTATTTCTGTTTGCAACCTGAGTTGAATACTACATTTATTAGTATATTACAATTATTAGGGTAGAAATGAGAAGAAAAGCCACACAAGTTAATATTTGCAAAAGGATATTTATAATACCAAGATAATTCTGCATTGAACAAGTATTGTGGAAGATAAAACAATACAAGAATACAGAGTAAGTACTTACTTGAACTTTAAGAGATTCCACATGATTCAGATATATGTGAGCATCTCCTAAAGTGTGTATGAACTCTCCAGGCTGAAAAGAATGAAGAATACATGTGGTTTTCAGTCAGGTTTCAAGAAAGCAAAACATTACAATGCTTACAGTATTGATTCCTAGCACCTTACATCTAGTGTGGAACTGCAGTTTTTGTACTGGATTGTATTGCCAAGACATCCTTGAAAACTTTGAAGGACACTAGCTTCCCTGACTACTGCATAATTAATGAAAAACATATTGAAATTTCCACTAGCTTACAAAAAAATTTATCTTTGAAATTCTGCTAGGATAATAGCTTTGGTATTGAATGGAGCACTACTGATCTGCTCACCAAGATAAAAATGGACATGGCAGTGACATCCCGCTTTTACACTTTACTTCTAATAAGTATGACTTGCCAAAGCTCGTTTCAGAGCAGCTGCCTTAACCTCTTCTAAACACTGTACTTTGCAGCAGTGGAGGTGTCAGCCACAGTCTAAACCCCAAAGCACTTATCAAGCATCCAGATATGTTTGCAAGATTGAAAGTTCTGTGATTTCGCAGCCCCTGAGCAACCTAATTTAACTCAGGTAAGTTTTATCAGCTATTTTACTGGCCTCTGACCAATGTAGACAAGGCCCTGGATATATTACACTGAAAACCACCAAAACCATGAGACAAAATGGCTGAGAGACAACAGCTGCCTTATGGACTTTACCTTGGACTAATATGGATTAGTACTTTGGACTAATATGGACTAGTACCTTGGACTAATTTCTTTGTTTGCAATTGCTGTAAAATCTGATTCTTCTTCCCTATTTCCTTATTTTAAGTTCTCCTTCATGTTGCTGGTAGCAGGAGGATCAAGCACAAATGGCCTTACTAGTATAACTTTTACATGCCCTAAAGAAAAGTGGTTTTCACATGTACGAGATTGCTGAGCATTTTTAATTTTTCTGTCAAATTAAAAAATACATCTCTGAAGTCAGGGCAGGAGCTATCTGAGCACATACTACCACTCTACATAATCATCTACAGTAGGAAATCACAGAAATACCTAGCTGAAATTACAGCTGGAAGTTAGGTGGGCAGAATATCCAAATTAAAACCTTGACAGCAACTTCTGAGCTACTGTTTGCTTCCAATAAACACATCCTACAAAATTTAACCACTTGTATGTTACTATCCCATAAGGACAAGTGCTCTGTTCAGATTTCTAAGAAGCAGACTAGTGAACAGGCCAGTTTTGACATGGTCATGACCTGGAGGATCTTCTGTCTGTTTAACCTTAATTTAAGAATTCTTACGTTTCTGATCCTAACTGCCCACATAAACCAGAGGCAATTCACATCAAATTCGCAGGGCCCTTTTTTACACATATTTCAGCAAGATTTCTAACAGTATGTTCATTCCATTTTTTCTTGGACATTTTCATGACACGAAGAGTCCCATCTTTCAGTCCTTCATTTCTCAGACAAGATTAAGTAAAATGATAAAATAACTTACCTTTAGCCCTGTGACATGGGCAATCATGTATGTGAGCAGTGAGTAGCTGGCAATATTGAAAGGCACTCCTAGTCCCATATCTCCAGACCTCTGATAGAGTTGGCAAGACAATTCACCATTTAGAACATAGAATTGGCAAAGAGCATGGCATGGAGGCAAAGCCATCAGAGAAATATCTAGGAATTGCAGTACAGAAAAAAACAGTAGCAGCATTAGTGTGTTATGAACGTAAAAGATGCAAAACCTAAATAAGCATGTAATGGGATAAAGTAGAGCCAACAGCATTGTCATTCTGTTGCTTGTTTCTCTTGTTTATAAGCACCTGCTGCCCAAGCAATTAAGTCTGGGTCATGACAAGCTGTCTCCTGGGCTGCATGACCAGAAAGTCATAAACAGATATTCCACATAACAGATTTATACCATAATGCTGCACAGCAGTTTACTGCTACTCACCTTGGTGAGACAGTTGGTTTCCCCAAAGGAAGACATTAAGAGTAAAATTAAGCATGTACCCTAAAGCAACTTTCAACTGCTTCATCTTACTCCCTTCCCATTGCAATGTGCCTTTGTTGCTTCTTGAGATATAAAAGCAATGATCAATTAAAAAAAAATCAGAAAACAAAAGATCTTTTGAGTGTTTATCCACACTTAAAAAGTGCAGATAGCATAATTGCAGCTTGGCAGGAAAAACTTTAACCAGGTATCTTCTGATATCTGAGAATGCTTAACCTTATAAATAACAGTAACAGCATATTGCAGCCCTTCCATACACCAGTGGATTTTTTGGAGCACAGATCACCACTGGTGAAGTTAAACATTCTCTTGCACTAGCTCTTGTTTAGAAGTAGCCATACCTGGATATCTACACAACCTATGTTCAAAGAGATGATTACAACACAAATAATACTTTTGTTCTCTAGTTTTAAGGGTTTTGTTAAGTTTAACATGGAAAGAAACACTCTGAAGAAATGGTTCAATATTTTTGAGGTCTGAGCATAAGACTTAGGTAGAAAGAGAATCAAACTTATAACCCCCGGTCATTTTTATTGTATTCCTGATAGTTTTTATAAAAAGTAAATAAGGACACCAAGTAGGACTGTGGACACAGGAATATAAAATAATTTAGCATAAAGCAAGGTAATGTGCAACTGCATTCATTTAAACTCTGCTATTCAATACCTTTTGGATTCCAAGCACACATAATGATTCTTCTGTCATCTGGATTGGTTTTGATCGTTTCAATCACTTTTTGCAACTGATCAATTCCTTGGTTGGAGTAATCTGGAGAAAGGTATCAAATAAGTTCTAACCCAGACAGATTCAAGTCATGATATTTTTTAACACCCAGCCCACATCCCACTGAAAAGTAATACTGAAATTACAGCCTCTGAAAACTTTATTACAACTTTGAAAGTGATATTAATTAGTTGGCACACTCTAAATACAGGCTATTCTTGGTGTTTCTTAGGGTGCTCTAAAGCTTGTGAAATTTTCATGACGGTATTTTGACATGTCCCCCCATCTCTTTTGTGTGCTTTGACTACCTTTAGCACCCACTGAAATAGGACCATTCTTATTTAGAACACTTTATTCCATTCTTAACAACTTGACATTTTTAAAGACCAACTAAGAAGTCTGCATAATCGCTAAATCCCAAGAAACAAAACTTGCAATGCAAAAAAATAGTTGAACAAAGAATGGTATTTTATCTTTCATGATGACTTGTTACCTAAATAGGAAAAGAGCTGTACTGGAATGGACAACATATTACCACCCTGTCATTCACAGTATTTAAACTAAATCGTTTATATTGCACTTCTGGATTAAAATGCCTCTCTAGATGTTAAACTTGCATGTTACAGTGTTCCTTCTTATTAAAAAAAAAAAAAAATTATGCCCAGACTAGTACTGAGGGATACTAGCACTCTTTACATACTCAAAAGTACAAAGTTTTTGACAGATGAATAAACACAACCATCTAGCACTCATAAGGTCATGTATGAAAACTAAAGTTCCACAGCATTTAAAGCCAGAAGGGAACTTTAATCATGTATAGCACAGGATAATACATTTCACCCAATTCTCAGGCTGAATTTTAGGCTCAATTCCAGTTATATAAGAAATTTACTGATATTAACTGACCATCAGAATGGATTTCAGAATAAAAGTCATTAGCTGTTAATCATTGTTCTGACTCATTCCAGTCAATCAGCATGACTGGTAACTACTTTTTTCTAATAACTTATTGCAGCAACATCAAATTAGGCTACAGGGAGACCCAAGCTGGCAAGCAAGGTAGTAATACACGATCCCCATATGGGCCATTCACTTAAGAGTTGGACTCGATGATCCTTGTGGGTCCCTTCCAACTCAGAATATTCTGTGATCCTTCCATGACACAATTAGTAGCTCAGGGAATTCTTCTGCCAGCAATACTGTGCCAGAAGCCTTGTCAAATGGTTATGTTAGTTCCTGAAGCTAATTACCTATCCATTAGTAATGCAACTTAAGGAAATCTATTAGTAATGAAACCCATGGGAATTTATCTTGTTCATTTTTTCCACCCTATGTTTTGACTCAGACCTACTAAATTCAGGAACACTGAAATTTTTCACTAAGTTTTCAGATGTGTCAGTTCACAGTTTGCACTGTTTGTGTTAGCATAAAACTAGTGGTCAACATGCCAATACCAAGTCTAATATCTGTAACTAATTTTGAGGCTGTATTGACAAAAAACCCCACCAAGATAACTAACTCATGTTGTTAATCCGAGTTTAAAATCACACTAGATAGGGGCAGTCCTCAAAATGTTTTCTACATCTTCTCCTTCAGTGACTTAGAAAAGAGCCAGCAACACACTTCAGAGTAAGTCTAATGAACCCGTTCCACAGAAAATAATACCAACAGATACTGCATCACATCATAACTTGTTACGGCTGTTCTGTCCACAGCATCATCACTATGGATACATCCTACTTCGTTCCAGATGCAGAATAGAAAAATCTTTTTCTTCTCCTGTCTCCAATGAATGTAGTGCACTGCCAGTTCTTTCCAGAACAACAGTATCACAGAAATCAGGACCCCACATTGATACACAGAGGTGGCAACCTGTGTTCCACTGCTATCAAATGGAGCTAGCATGGGCTTCTGGACTGCAACAGGCACACATCCTTCCAGCTATCAGTGACCATATCTGGTCTAGATAAAAGAATAACAGTGTATTCCTTATGATCCATCAGTTCTACAAATGTCACACTACAATACACAAAGCTACATCTTTCAGGATAACTAGATTAAGTAAGAAAAAAAAGTTAAATTAACTCTCTCAAACACTATTTATTCTGGCTATCAGTTCACACTTGGTCCCTTAACAGAAGTCAGAGTTTTGGAAGTGATGTATCACAGTTGTCTCACTAAGCGAACAAGACTGTATTTGTACGTGATTACCTGTGTGCATATCTTTGTATTCTGCTCCAAAGTGCCTCCACTGGAAACCATACACTGGTCCCAAATCCCCCTCCTCTCTGGCGCTGAAACCCTGCTTATCCAGGAACTCACGTGACCCATTAGCATCCCAAATCTTCACACCTTTTGCAGAGAGCTCTTTGGCATTCGTAGAACCCTACAAAACACAGACAGTAAGAATTCTGCCTCCTAATTTCAACACTGAGGACATTATCTGAAACAGCTGCATTATGTTTTTCTAGTCTACGGTATTTCTCCACTTACAAAGGATGAACAGTCTAATTAATGTACTGGGTGAGGTTCTTGCACATGGACAGAATAAAGCTTGAGAGCAACATACTGGGATGAAGTTTGAGGAACAGCCATGCTACTGTTGTTTAACACAGGATTCTCCAAACTTTGTGAATGCACAAACAATACAGCCTCAAGGTCAACTGTGGTATGTCATTTCATAAGCACATTTCCAGAGAACAAGATGTTACTTTACAGATGGATGAAAACAGACTAACAAAGGCACTGTCTTTGCCAAGCCACCTATAATGAGCTTAAGGTATTAAAAATCCTTTTGTTTAAATGACAAAAATGTGAAAATGACCCAGAGAAATGTTGCTGAATCCTGCAACATGTCCAAATCGGCACATTCAAAAATTCAACACAGAAGTTATGCTGGTTTGGAGAGTGTCTAGTCTTTTACATTTGAAAAAAAACACCCAAAGCTTTTAAAAAATGAATGTGCATTTGAGTCCTGCTATGTAGCAAATGGTTAGATAGATTTCCCCATACCTGCACAATATCACAACATATAAAGGAACACTTCCATTGTAATGTATTATCTATAGTTGAATTTTATTATTCTACCTACAGCTATCAGCTCTATTAGATCTCATTCTTTTGCTACTAAAAAGCCTAGTGTTTACATCGATCTCACTTGGCCTGTGGTTCTGCACTGCTTATTCCTGTTCAAATCAATAAAAGCTATTTCAGTATTAAAAAGCAGATCACTAAATTGCCTACTATCTATTTCATATTATTATTTCTTATTCAAACACTAAGAAAAGACACTGTATTAGGCTTTATAACTCCGGAGTATAGTCAAATCAGCAAAAGCCCTCACTATTTCAGACTATATCCCTTAAAAAGAAATAGAAGAAAAACTCTTCCGAGGGTACTGTTAGCAACAGTCTGCACTAAAAGGCTGAATGTCTTGAAGATAATGGCCTTCCATGTGTGGTCAAAATATTAGGTGGTTGCACTTCTCTCACAGGAAGAGAAGCACCTGTAGTTACCCCAAATCCCTTAATCCACACTAGTTCATTCCATTTATCCCACTCTCAGGCACAGCACGCAAAGAGACATCCAAACACCGAACCTTGATGAACCACAGCAGCTCCTCCAGCACTCCCTTCCAGAACACCCTCTTCGTTGTTAGCAGTGGAAACTGATCTGGAAGAGAGTTTTAGAGTGTCAGAGGAGACAGCCATTCGCGAAAGGTGAACAGACTTAGGCTTTTCTCAACGCCACCATTTGATATTCAGAGGTTTGGATACGCAGCAAGGAGTTGGGAGAGGATGTGTAATTCTCGTAGTCAGATCTCTCGGCGGGCGGGAGTGGGTCAGTCCCGGGGTACAAGATGGCGTGTGACACCTCCCAACACCCACCCCGCCGGGCCGGGGCCAGGGAGCAGGGGCCAGGGGATAGGGACAGGGGCCAGGGAGCAGGGGCAGGGGGCC